AGGTTGGGCCGGAACCTGGAAAGGAGGGGAGTTATGGGGGGGGAGAGGAAACAAAATGTAATCTGAACAATAAAATTTAATAAAAAAAAAAACAGTTTAGACCCCATCCCTTGGGGGCTTAAGCCTTTAGTCAGATATCCCCCGAGGGCTCCCTGACTGCCAGAAGCATGTCTGACTGCAAGCTTAGGCCTGTTCCCCCGGGAGTAGGCCTAAGTTGACAGGTGGACATCCCCAAGGGGTCCTGGACTGTGAATGGGAGCAGCCGAGCTGAGGGACCCTCCTCTCTGAGTGCAAACATTTTTGTGCACCAGGCCTCTAATTAATAATAATGAAGAATGTCTCCTTCTACTTTTTCTTCGAAAACAAATTTCTGGGGAATGATAAACTATTTACATGCTAACTTCACCAAAAGGCAGAACTTCCACATGGGTCAGCTCTGAGCACAGTTATCCTCATGCCTACTGTATGTACACTGTCCAAGATTAGTGCTCTCACCAGAGCAAAATTCTCTGAAGAGTAACATATTTGGGACCCAAAGGTAGAGATGAAATAACTTTTTTTCCAACCCTTTACTTTCATCTGAAATGGGTCTCATTTAGAGAGCATAAGTATGGGTATCATTCTCATATCAATTCAGCTACCCTGTGTCTTCTGGTTGAATCAGTTAACTCATTTATATTGTAAGTGATTATTTACTATAGGTATATAGTTATTGGCATTTTTAAATTAACACAGTCCTAGCTGGAGACTTTAGCTTCCCATTGACATCAATGGATAGATCTGCCAGAAAAAAAGTCAATACAAAAAATTGGTCTTCATGTCAAGGGGGGGGAGGGGGGGGAAGGAGACATATGTAATACTTTTTGTAATACTTCAAGAAATAAAAATTATTTTTAAAAATTTGGTCTTGCCGAAAACGGTTTGGCTCAGTGGATAGAGCGTCGGCTTGCGGACTGAAAGGTCCCAGGTTCGATTCCGGTCAAGGGCATGTACCTGGGTTGCGGGCACATCCCCAGTAGGAGATGTGCAGGAGGCAGCTGATCGATGTTTCTCTCTCATCGATGTTTCTAACTCTCTATCTCTCTCCCTTCCTCTCTGTAGAAAATCAATAAAATATATAAAAAAAATAAAAATAAAAAATAAAAATAAAAATTTGGTCTTAAATTACTCATTAGACAAGATGGATTTGATAAGTTTACAGCAGAGATTATCAAGCAGAGTGTCACAGTGGCAAACTGGTGTGCTGCGAGAATTTTTAGTACAATAAACACCTGGCTATGTAGTCAATAGCACAAACTACATTACCCATAGATTTTCAAATAAAATGTGACAAAGGCATGCACAGTAATAGCTGTGTGGTGTGCATGAGTCAAAATCAGACATTTTTTTCACAGGGTGGCAAAATACATATTTTGGTGGACCTCTGAATTTCAATAATTACTCCATTTGTGCCAAGAGATTAAAACATGTTGAAATCTCTCATTCAGAGCCTTTCACCCCAAAGCAGAATATGCATTCTGGACAAAATGAAGATAGAAGGCCCTCTTAACCTAGAAACAATGTCTGCTTCATCTATTTTCCTAATGACTATGTGAAATACAAATCGTTTGTATCTTTTCCATCAATACACACCCTCAATATTACTCACTACAGTACCAGAAAATGGAACTCTTGTCTAGGTGACATCAAATTCCTATCAATGATCCGGATCCAATAGTTTGTCCTGAACAAAACCATAAAGCCCCTGGTCCAGATAGAGACCTAGAGACAACATAACACGAGATTCTTATACGTATGAAAGCTCCATGGGAATGTCAGGAAGTAGAGTAGAAGAGTATCCAATATCCAGTTTCTTTAATCATTGTGTGATCCTTTGGGTTGGCCCATGCAAAGCATCTGATATTACCAGCTTGTACTAATTCACAAGACACTGGAGAAGGAATGAATGTGGCGCTTTCATTTCAATCACTGCTATCCTGCCGTCCCGACTTACAATCACGGCTAGGAAATCACTGCGGGAACAACTAACGCTTCTATGAATATAACTGTGGACATGCTGTCAATATACAAAATAACTTCTGATGAAAGGAAATTTTTTCAACCTCAAATCTGCCATGGTGTCTGGATTCTCTTGGAAGAATGACCAATATCCAGCAACATTTAAGTAATTGACAATAAAATCTGTTTAACAAGGGCTGAATCCATCCCAAGAAAGAAATGAGGTAACACTGAGAAATTCTTTTCTTAAAAAAATAAATCTTTATTTTTCAGATCATTACAGTTGTTCCTTTTTTCCCCCCCATAACTCCCCTCTACCCAGTTCCCACTCCACACTCTGCCCTTACCCGCCCCCACTGTCCTCATCCATAGGTATATGATTTTTGTCCACTCTCTTCCCAAGCCCCCCACCCGCTTTCCCCCCGAGAATTGTCAGTCCACTCCCTTTCTATGCCCCTGATTCTATTATATTCACCAGTTTACTATGTTCCTGAGAGTTTTTATCCACTTGATTGTTAGATTCACTTGTTGATAGATATGTAATTATTGTTCATAATTTTTATCTTTACCTTTTTTCTTCTACCTTGTCTTAAAGAATACCTTTCAGTATGTCATATAATACTGGTTTGGTGGTGATGAACTCCTTTAGTTTTTTCTTATCAGTGAAGCTCTTTATCTGACCTTCAATTCTGAATGATAGCTTTGCTGGGTAAAGTAATCTTGGTTGTAGGTTCTTGCTATTCATCACTTTGAATATTTCTTCCACTCCCTTCTGGCCTGCAAAGTTTCTGTTGAGAAATCAGCTGACAGACGTATGGGTGCTCCCTTGTAGGTAACTGAGTTTCTTTCTCTTGCTGCTTTTAAGATTCTCTCTTTGTCTTTTGCTCTTGGCATTTTAATTATGATGTGTCTTGGTGTGGTCCTCTTGGGATTCCTTTTGTTTGGGGTTCTCTGCTCTTCCTGGACTTGGAAGTCTATTTCTTTCACCAGGTAGGGGAAGTTTTCTATCATTATTTCTTCAAATGGGTTTTCAATATCTTGCGCTCTCTCTTCTTCTGGCACCCCTATAATTCGGATATTGGTACGCTTGAAGTTGTCGCAGAGTCTCCTTACACTATCTTGATATTTTTGGATTCTTTTTTCTTTTTCGGTTGGGTTTTTTTGCTTCTTCACATTTCAAATCTTTGACTTGATTCTTGGGATCCTCTTGTCTGCTGTTGGATCTCTGTATATTATTCTTTATTTCAGTCAGTGTATGCTTAATTTCTAGTTGGCCCTTTTTCATATCCTCGGCTTCTCTACAGTATGAACTCTGTTATGCGGACTAAGTTCTGAGGAGCATCTAGACTTTGCCATATTCTCCACATTTATAAAGCTTCTGTCCAGTATGAACTTTCTGATGCGTAGTAAGTTCTGAGGGTATTCTAAAGGCTTTGCCACATTCTCTACATTTATAAGGCTTCTCTCCAGTATGAACTCTTAGATGCCTACTACGGTGTGAGGACGTTGTAAAGGCTTTGCCACATTCTCTGCATTTATAAGGCTTCTCTCCAGTATGAACTCTCTTATGTGCAGAAAGTTCTGAGGACCTTCTAAAGACTTTGCCACATTCTCCACATTTAAAAGGCTTCTCTCCCGTATGAACTCTCTGATGTGTAGTGAGGTGTGAGTACCATCTATAGGCTTTGCCACATTCTCCACACTTATAAGGCTTCTCACCAGTATGAACTCTCTGATGCGTAGTGATGTGTGCGTACGATCTATAGGCTTTGCCACATTCTCCACATTTTTGAGGCTCCTCTCCAGTATGAACTCTCTGATGCCTAGTAAGGTGTGAAGACCTTGTAAAGGCTTTGCCACATTCTCTACATTTATAAGGCTTCTCTCCAGTATGAACTCTCTTATGCAGAGTAAGATCTGAGGACCTTCTAAAGACTTTGCCACATTCTCCACATTTATAGGGCTTCTTCCCAGTATGAACTCTCTGATGCGTAGTAAGCTGTGAGGGCCATCTATAGGCTTTGCCACATTCTCCACATTTAAATGGCTTCTCTCCAGTACGAACTCTCTGATGCATAGTAAGGTGTGAGGATCTTGTAGAGGCTTTGCCCCATTCTCTACATTTATAAGGCTTCTCTCCAGTATGAACTCTCTTATGCAGAGTAAGTTCTGAGGACCATCTAAAGACTTCGTCACATTCTACACATTTATAAGACCTCTCTCCAGTATGAAGTCTCTGATGCCTAGTAAGGTGTGAGGACCATCTATAGGCTCTGCCACATTCTCCACATTTATAAGGCTTCTCTCCATTATGAATTTTCTGATTTAGATACACCTGAAGACCAATTAGATATTTTACCAGAATCTTTACATTTATAAGGTTTTTCTTTATTACGGATTTTTTCCATTTTATTTAAATTGAATATTTGACTAGACACTCTACCACAAGGATTCCAGTTGTCAGCCTCCTCCATGGTACGAATATTCTCTTCTTCAGTGTAATCTGAATACTGCTGAAAAGACTGGACACATTTACTTCCTATGTGTGTCTTCCCCACAATAAGAATAACCTGATGTGTATTGGGATTGGACATTTGGTCAATGACTTTTCCACTTTTATAATGGTCCTCTGCAAGCGCCCTTCTCCACTGATGATTAAGATATGACTCTTGCTTAAAATTTTTCCAATATTCAATCCATTGATAACTGCTCTCTCCATTATCTGTACTCTGGTGACAATGGGAGATAGAAAGGCCTTTAGTGACAGTTATAACTTCATTAAACTTGTACACTTGTTCCATAAGAAACATTATGTGATACTCTTTAAACCAAGAGGGTTGTATAGAAAAACCTTTCCTAATTTATTAAAATTATGCACAAAAAATAAATACAAAACATTGTCGGAGAAGGAAGAATGAATCCCTGTTTAAAACACTGCCAAATTGCCCTAACTGGTTTGTTTCAGTGGATAGAGTGCTGGCTTGCAGACCGAAGGCTCCCGGGTTTGATTCTGGTCAAGGGCATGTACCTTTGTTGTGGGCATGTCCACAGTGGGGAGTGTGCAGGAGGCAACTGATCAGTATTTCTAGCTCTCTATCCTTCTCCCTTCTTCCCTGTAAAAAATCAATAATATATTTAAAAATAAATCTAATCTAATAATAGACAAACATGGTAATTGACCATACCTCTGCTACACTTCCCATTGGCTAATCAGCAGAATATGCAAATTAACCTAACCAAGATGGCAGCCGGCAGCCACGAAGCTGAAGTGAGCAGGAGGCTTGCTTGCTCCAGTAATGGAGGAAGCCAAGGTTCCACACCTGCCGTGGCCCGGCTCTAAGCTCCGAAAGCAACATTTCGATTTTAGAAGCTAAACGAACCCCAGATACCTGCTTTCAGCAGGCCCTGGCCTGAGAGCTGGAGCGGCAACAAAGTTTCAATTATAGAAGGTAAATAAATCCCTGAATAAAAAAGAAAAAGAAAAAAAGGAGAGGCCGAGAACTTCCATCGCCGTCTTGGCCAGCCTGAAAATAGCCCTCAGCCCCTCATCCAGACTGGCCAAACACCCCAGTGAGGATCCCCACCCTAAAGAGGGTGCGGGCAGCCTGAAAATAGCCATCAGTCCTTCATCAAGGCTGGCCAGGCACCCCAGTGGGGACCCCCACTCTGAAGGGGGTGTGACCAGCTAGAAACAGCCATCAGCCCCTCACGCAGACTGGCCAGGCACCCAAGCGGGACCCCCACCCTGTGTGGGACACACTTCAGGGCAAACTAGCCGGCCCTCACCTGTGCACCAGGCCTCCATCCTATATAGTAAAAGGGTAATATGCAAACTGACCCTAACAGCAGAAATACTGGGAATGACTGGTCACTATGACACACACTGACCACCAGGGGGCAGACGCTCAATGCAAGAGCTGCCCTCTGGTGGTCAGTGAGCTCCCACATGGAGGAGCTCCGCACAGTCCCAAGCCAGGCTGATGGCTGCCAGTACAGTGGTGGTGGTGGGAGCCTCTGCTGCCTCCTCAGCAGCGCTAAGGATGTCTGACTGCAGCTTAGACCTGCTCCCCGCTGGCAAGTGAACATCCCCTGAGGGCTGCCGGGCTGCCACAGGGATGTCTGATTGCCACCTTAGGCCCAATCCCCAGAGGAGCAGGCCTAAGCCAGCAGGTGGTCATCCCCAGAGGGGTCCCAGACTGCGAGAGGGTCAAGGCCGGGCTGAGGGGACCCCCCAACCACCCCAGTGCACAAAATTTTGTGCACCGGGCCTCTAGTAAATAAAATAAAAAACTGCCAAATTGCCCAGCAAGCATGGCTCATTGGTTGAGCTTTAATGTATGAGCAAGATGGTCATGGTTCCATTCCAGGTGAGGGCACAAGCCCTGGGTTCGGAATCGGTCCCCTCTTTGAGGAATGCAGGAGGCAGCCAAGAAATGATTATTTCTCATCACTGATGTTTACCTTTCTCTCTTCCTCTATGTTCCTATCAAAAATCAATAAAAATATATTTTCTAATAAAAAAATAATGAAATACCTAGCCTTATTGGCTCAGTGGATAGAGCATTACCCTGAGGACTGCAGGAACCCAGGTTCAATTTCAGTCAAGGGCACATGCTCTGGTTTCCAGTTTAATCCTCATGGGGGGCATGCAGGACTCACCGATCAATGATTGTTTCTTATCAATGATGTTTCTCTTGCTCTCTCCCTCTTACTACTTCTCTGAGTTTAATAAAAATATATTTAAAAGTAATAATAAGCCCTGGCTGGTTTGGTTCAGATGATAAGAGCGTCGGCCTGCGGACTGGGGGATCCCAGGTTCGATTCCGGTCAGGGCATGTACCTTGGTTTGCAGGCACATCCCCAATAGGGAGCATGCAGAAGGCAGCTGATTGATGTTTCTCTCTCATCGATGTTTCTAACTATCTAGCACTCTCCCATCCTCTCTGTGAAAAATATATATATATACACACACACACATACATATATATATATGTGTGTGTGTATGTGTGTGTGTGTGTAAATAAATTATTAAGATTTCCAAGTTGAGGACATTTAAATTTTATAGGTACATTATAAATATCTACATTTTAGACATGATTGCATGAAAGTATAATCCCACCCTATATTTTAAGCAATTCAAAGGATTATTTATACTACAGACTATAATTACTAGTTTTTCCAGATTTCCTTGGTTTAACAGTAAAAAGTTGTTTTCGACTTTCACCTGCAGAAACACACTGATCTGCCAATGTAACTGACTTTAATATGGGAGGTTTCCCAAAAGCATAATACACTTGACCTGTATAGGTAACAACAATTTTGTTATGATAACTATTTCAGATTAGTTCTGTTTATATTAATTCCCTTTACTCTCATCACACTCTTCCAAGGCTTTCATTAAGTGTACATTATCAAAGCGACACCTTTTATATCTTACCAGTATTATTTCAGAGAATAAATCTTGCATTCCAGGCTTTGGAATAAAGGCCTGATCATCTTCTGATGACATACCTGAAAGAAAACAAATTTTTAGGTTTGACAATCAGGTGGTGAGTGCACTTTGAAGTTACCAGAAACTTTAGGCCAATGACAGTTTTGAGTACTCCAAGACCCACTGAAGGATTCAACAAAGCTCAAGATAGGTACAATGAGGAAAACTCACATCAAAGAGGGACAAAGAACTGCCTACATTTGCAAATGATACCTGCTCAAACCTCCTGGCACACAATGGCAATATTATCGAAACACTCTTAATTACCAGTTTCTTCCCTGGAGAGAGAGAGGTATGAGGGAAGTCCATGTTCAATGATCTCTCTCTTTTGAAGCCTCTTAAACAACAAGTTCTGTTGTGTATGACATAGAGTGTGAACAGAATGGCAGTGCACAGTGAGTGCCCTGTAGTGGCTGCTACAAATGAGAAATTGTTCAAGCACCATAAAGACTGCAGTACTGAACATGTAATATGAAGCCTGAAAAGACACCGTGTGACTGAGAAGGAAACAGAGAACATTTCCATCTGGGAAATTAAACAGACAACCAGTGTAGAACCGAAAGAGAATTTCTTCCAGAGGTTATTATTTGTTTCTTCCATAGAAAAGCATGTTCAAAAGCCTGCTACTTTACAACTCAGGAATCTGACCAAAAGATATCAAGCCCTGAAGAAAATCAAAAACAGAAAAAGTGTACCATCAGGAAAACAAAATAAATATATAAAAACTGGAATTATATTAATGAAAATATATTAATTATCTCAAAAAAATGGAAAATAAATATCTTAATGTTGTAAAGACGATATAATATCACAAAAATATTATATAATCAAAATAAAAATACAATGAGAAAGTATTTTACAAACATTATACCAAAAGAGGAAATTGAACTACATAAAACATGAATTAAAAAATAGAGTAGAATCATGAATGAACGATGTGATCAACTCAAAACATCAAAGAATTTGCCTGAGAGTGGTGGCTCAGTGGTAGAGCTTCTACCTATGAACAAGGAGATCACAGTTTGGTCCCACATAAGAGCACAGGCCTGGGTTGAAGAATCGATCCCCCAACGTATAGGAGGCAGGCGATCAATGATTCTCTCTCTTCACTAATGTTTCTATTACTCTCTCCCTTGCCTTTCCTCTCTGATATCAATAAAGATACATTTTTAAAAAAATAGTAAATAATCGAAGAATTGCTATGTAAATCATTAAAATTTTAATTCATTAAGATTTTTACAAGAGAAGCCAACAAATATCTGGAAATGTGAAGAGAATTTAAGGAACTCATAAGACACTAACAAATCAACCACCAAGGCAATCCCATAGAGAGAGAATAGTGAAAAGGAATAGGTAGCTTATATAAAAAATTAGTCGTTTAAGATCCTGAAAATTGGAGAAAGAGACACAAATACAAGCAGCTCACTGTATTCTAAGTGGAATAAATATAACATGAGCACAGATAAAAACAATGAAAATATCACGAGTACCAGAATACTACCTAAAAACATATAAAAAAATAATTCCTCATGGAAAAGACATCTCTAAGATCATTAGGGGGTTTCTAAGCAGAAAACTACTGGGGGGGGAAGGGCATGAGATAAAACATGGAACTGATAAATGAACAAAAACCATCCAACAAGAATATTGACAGAACAGATGAAAAACAATGGGAAGGAAACAACTGTTCCAGTTTCAAAACTTTCTCATAATTAGACCTTCTCATTATTAGACTTGCCCTATAAGAAAACCGTGTGGAGGTAATTTAAAAATTCTACACAACACTAACATATGAACACATAAAGATGCCTTGTATGGGGAAAAATATACAGAACTATAATAATCTGTGGAGTTGTAATAAACATATATCACTTTGATTTCTCCTGTGTAACTTTAGAAAATAAAAGGAATTGGCGGAATTGAGTGGCTTATTAGTTAAGCGTCTATCTATGAACCAGGAGGTCACAGGTTGAGTCCCGGTCAGGGCTCATGCCTGTGTTTCAGCTCATTCCCCAATGTGGGGTGTGCAGGAGGTGGCCAATCAATGATTCTCTCTTATCATGATGTGTCTATCTCTCCCCCCATCTCCTTCACAAAAATAATATTAAAAATGTATTTTTTAAAAGAATAAAATCTTAAATCTCTTCTATAAGGCAAACAACATTAAAGACAATGTGATATCAACTTATGTGGGTACATGGATAGAATTGGCAATCAGCAGAGATTTGTATGCAATTGACAATATGAGTTTAAGGTACACTGTTATAACCTTCAGGTATTTTAAGTAATTCCCATGGTCACAACAAAAAATAGGAAATAAATAAAATGATCTCTACTAATAGATAACAGAATTCTGTATTGCAAATCACAGACTCCACATTTCTAAAAATATATATACATATGAATATAGAGATAAATATATATATATTTATAAATATAAATCTATATATAATTAATTTCTCAAAACATGGTATATAGGATGAATGAAATTAGCTGTGTCCCTGTACAGGAACAGAAATTAATACAGAATAAGAAATTTTCTATGTATTTGCATGATTACCAGCAAAATGGAAAATAAAATATTAACAGTTTACTTCCTAAGAAGGTGCATGACTTCTATGCTGTAAAGCAGCCGTCCTCAAACTACGGCCCGTGGGCCACATGTGGTCCTCCGAAAACATTTATCCGGCCCGCCAGGTGTTTTTGCCGCCGCAGTGTGCATAGGAATTGGTTCATAGTTTTTTTTTTTAAACTATAGTCTGGCCCTCCAACGGTCTGAGGGACAGTGAACTGGCCCCCTGTTTAAAAAGTTTGAGGACCTCTGCTGTAAAGTATAGAATACTACTGGCTGCTCTCTGCAGTGTGCTTGGTGGTGAGAGCATGGGCACCCACCAAACGGTTGCAGGTTCAACTTCAACCCCGTTTTGGATGTGTGAGAAGCAAAACAATGCGTCTCTCTCACCATCGATATTTTATGCTCTATCTCTGTTTCTATCCCTATTGCCCTCTCCCTCTCTTTAAAACTCAGTGTGGGGAAAAAAAGTGTGAGGGTTAACAAAAGAAAACATATACACACACATTGACGGCTATAATTAAAGAACAAATCACTAAGTTGGAAAACACATTCCATGACCCTACTCTGAAAGGCTAACAGTATCAGCTGTCATTAGTACCCAAAGTAACCTAAGCATTTAAAGCAATCCCTATCAAAGTCCCAATGACACTTTTGGTGGAAATAGAAAATCTCTTTCTACAATTAATGTGAATGTCACAGGGCTCAATGTAACCAAGTGAAAAGAGATCTGTGAAAAGAATGTATGAAATTAAAGGCTTCAGGCTTCCTGATTTTTAAACATACTTCAATGCTTCTGTTATCAAAAAAACTGTAATACAGGTCTAGCCAGTTTGGTTCAGGGGATAGAGCACCAGCCTGTGAACTGAAGGTTCCCAGGTTCAATTACGGTCAAGGGCACGTGCCAGGGTTGCCATCTTGATCCCCACTAGGGAACGTGTAGAAGGCAGCCTATCAATGATTCTCATCACTGATATTTCTATCTTTCCCTCTACCTTCCTCTCTGAAATTAATAAAAAAATATATAAACGAAGAAATAAAAAACCTGTAATACAGACATTAAGAGAAATAATGAAGCAAGGTAGAATAAAAGGCCTTCATAGACATGCTCCTGGAAAGGTCTAAAGATCTTCACCCAGGGTGCCTAAACCACAGATAAGAAAAGGATATTCTTTCCTTACCCAGTAGCTCAGTTGTTTAGAGTGTGGTCCTTATACCAAAACATTGCAGTTTTAATCTGTGCTCAGGGCATATTAAAAAGTAACCAATGAATGCATAACTAAGTGGGGAAGTAAATGTATCTCTCTCTCTCTCTGTGTGTCTCTCTCTTCCCCACTCCCCCCGCCCGCTCTCGCCCCATGGCTCTCTTCCTCTAAAACCAATAAAAATAAAGTATACAGTAGTGCTGGGTGTCTTTAAAGAACTCAATAAATGAACTACACATGCAATGACCTTATATTGGAATGCTAACAGTATAAGCTGTCACGAGTACCCAAGGTTCACATAAACTTTCAAAGCAATCACTATCCACGTCTCAATGGCACTTTCCACGAAATTAGCAAACCTCATCCTGAAATTGATATGAAATGACACAGGACACCAGGGAACCAAAACTAACATGAGACACAGTATAACCTTAAAGGCATCATGCTTCCTGATTTAAAAAAAACAAATATTTCCAAACTGGTGCCATCCAAAAGTATCATCTACACATTAAGACACAGGTAAATAGAGGAGCACGGTAGGCCCTGGCCAGTGTGGCTCAGGGTTAGAGCATCATCCTGTGAACTTAAGGGTGGCAGGTTCAATTTCCCTTTAAAGGGCACATACCTCAGTTGCAAATTCCCACCCCATCTGGGTTGAGGCTTGAGTAGAAGGGGGCCAGTTGATGTGTCTCTCTCACATGAATGTTTCCCTCTCTCTCCCCCCTCCTTGCTCCCACCCTTCCACTCTCTCTGAAAAGCAATGGAAAAAATGTCCTCATGTGAGGATTAACAACAACTACAAAAAAGAAGCACTGTAGAACAAAGAGCCTATTTACAACTTCTCACCCATGAGGTAAAATAATCTCCTACAAGGGTGCTTATACCACCAAAGAAGTAAAGCAGATTCTCACACATACGAATAGTGTTGAGATACTTAGATGTCTATGTGTAAAAGAAGGAGTAAAGTTGGACTGTTATTAAACACCATATACAAATATTAAACCAAAGTGGATAAAAGATTGAAACATAAAGCTCATAATAAGTCAATCTATTAAATGACAAGTTACAGAAATGTTTTTGTTTACAAATACATTTTTATTGATTTCAGAGAGGAAGGGAGAGGGAAAGAGAGATAGAAACATTAAGATATTCACTGAATGGCTGCCTCCTGCATGGCCCCTACTGGAGATGGAGCCTGCAACCTGCTCATGTGCCCTTCATCAGATTCCAATCCAGGACTCTT